AAATTTGGTTTAAAAGTGAAGGATGCTTTCTCTAAATTCACCAGACTTTCACCAGAAAGTGTGACTATTTCACAGGAAGAAAGAAAGAAAGAAAGAAAGAAAGAAAGAAAGAAAGAAAGAAAGAAAGAAAGAAGGAAGGAAGGGAGGAAGGGAGGAAGGGAGGAAGGGAGGAAGGGAGGAAGGAAAATTAGGTATACATCTTACATCTTAATGGAAGTTTTTTCTCTCCACGGAAGCAGTGATCGTGGGTTTAATATGTCTCCGTTGGGTCCAAAACCCCACAGGCTTACAGAAAATTCAACTGCACTCTTGACCCACTTTCTCTAAGAAGTTCTCTGCTGAAAGGACTTTCCCCAAATTCAAATATTTATAAGCTGTTTTGTAAACATCTTGAGTTTGAATAAACATTGCTTGAAGTGGTTATTGAATTCGAAAAACCGCAATGATAACCAAAATGGCCCATGTGACTCTCTGCCGACGTTAGCACTGAGCTAAGCCTTCTGGTGTCTTGACATTTTGGAGTTTTTTTGTTTTTTTTAGTTTGGAGACTGTGCGTCACTGCCTGCTGGGGCTTACCGTTCTGTGGCTCACCTCGGCACTCATTAAAGAAAAATAACTTTCTCGAAGCAGTTTAGGTATAGGCAATACTTTTACTTTCAATGTGTGCGTATACTCATCAAAATTCTTTTGGAAATTGCAATGCAGAAAGCAAGACAGATTTCGTGGGCTGTCACCTGTGCAGCTGGCAGGACAGGTGAGCTCACTAAGCCAATGGAGGTGCTCCCTCGTGCCCGCCCGTCTGAATGAGCCGCGTGTGAACTAATTGCTGACCTATGTACTGAACGCATGTTGTCCTGTGAACGCTTTCTCGCCTTCTTCCCGCATGGTCCACGGCTCTGTACCTGATTATCTCTGAAAATCACACCGGCAGCCGCAGGAGCCATGCAGACCACAGCTTTTGTTATGGTTCCCACTGTCATGGAAACTCAAAATCATTCCCCTCGTCAGTTTCATCCTTAGACGCCCTCCCTACTTGTATGTGGCCCTCCCTGCAAATACCCTGTAACAGAAACTCCAGGGACTGATCACACCCTAGGAAGCTAATCGTTTTTAATAACTTCCATTAAGATTGGCTTTCCTCAGAGATTTCTCGATAGAAATGCAAGTGTTCTTTGCATTTTTCTTCCCCAAATGAGATCCCTGGGAATTGGAAAGTTTTAATGTAACTCAAAGAATGGAAAACTCATCAGTTCCAGAGCGTAGACCGCCCCGCCCGGCACCTTTTACAGGATCATGACCTGGGGCTCAGACATCTGGAATGATCAGAAGTGCTGAGAATTCCTCAAATCACCAAGGAACAGAAAGGCCGGGGAAGCTTTTGAATCACATCAACGATTCCCAGTAAATCTATTTACTCCATAGATTTAACTGTTGTTGCTGTTGTTGTTGTTGTTGTTTTTTAAGACGTCTTCCTTCAGGTTTTCCTGTTGGCGTTTCTATTTCCTGGGCTGCCAGTTAGCTTTGGATCCCATGGGACTGGGTCCCGATCCAGTCTTCATTCAGAGATATTCCTCACCCCATTCACGAATCCTTTCTTTTCTTCAAAAATCTCTCTTTGCCTGGTTCAGTTGCAAGAGCTCAGTGAAAAGGCTGTGCCCCATCTATCTTCTTTCCTTGCTTAAAAACTGATTTCCAAGGGAAAGTGTAGGGAGAAAGGAAGAGAACCACGTTCCCTGAAAAGAGCCCGAGTCCTAATGCGTTTTTGTTTTTATTTAACATAGGTATACTTTGAAGCTTTCCACTTATGAGCCATGAGTTTTGTAACTCTCTGAAAAGCACTTTTATTTTTTTTTTAATTTTTCTTTTTCAACGTTTATTTATTTTTGGGACAGAGAGAGACAGAGCATGAACGGGGGAGGGGCAGAGAGAGAGGGAGACACAGAATCGGAAACAGGCTCCAGGCTCCGAGCCATCAGCCCAGAGCCCGACTCGGGGCTCGAACTCCTGGACCGCGAGATCGTGACCTGGCTGAAGTCGGACGCTTAACCGACTGCGCCACCCAGGCGCCCCTGAAAAGCACTTTTAACGAAGCCATCGTCAAAAGTCACGTTGTAATTTCAAAGTAAAAATCAGTATTTCGTCACAGAGCCTGTGCGTATATTTCAAAAATAATACTTGCTGTGGTTTCTACTTGCAGAGAGCTTGATGTCAGAAGGTTATGTAAATCAAAAAACAGGGGTTTGTTGTCACTGCCTGTTATTCCATTATAAAAAGGCATCAGTTACCGTTTGGACCTGCTAGAAAGTCAGGTGTATTTGTAAGTATCTATCCGACGGGACACTGGCTTTTTATACCTAGTAATGGGCCAAATTAAGTAATGGTTTCTCGTTGACACTTCCCCACCCCCTACATGCACACACGCTCACACACAGTCTTCTTTTTCATTTCCTGCATCAATGAGCTAATCTTGCAAGGGAAGTGATATCCAAGGATTTTGACTCTTGTGCTACTTCAAGGCAAGAGAAACAATAATAAATATTGAGAAAAGAAAGCTAATTTGTACTTAGAGCATTTTAATATAGATAATGTTTTTCAAAATCAATATAAGCCAGTTGGCTTTTGCCAGATTTCTTTTATTACAGAGATTAAAAATAACCCAGGTCCAGATTTTATATATATATATATATATATATATATATATATATAGTAACTGCATTTTCTCGACTTGCTAGGATGAGATCTTAAAATACCATTCATAACATGTTTTAAACATCTATATAGGACTTGATACTTATTTTCTCATGGTCTAGTAGATTTAGGGGAAATAATGCTCAGATATATGCCAAGACCAGCAGATAGATCCAGAAGTTTCCACACAGAGTCCATTCATTCTGCTTATGGAGTTTGGATAGCAGTTTAATTAATTTTTGTTTGTGTCAGATGGAATTTTCTTGAAGGCAGCATTTTGGGCTTATGCATTTCTACAGTAGATGGAGCGTATTTCTGATGAAAACAGCGGCAAGGCAAAAACCCTATTTTGCCTTCCCTCAATGAATCAAATCTGTGTAGAATTATATTGAGTCTGTTTTTGTCAAACGCTGGTGTTCACGTTAATGTTCAGATGCCAGGCTGGTCTGTGTTTGCCAGTGTGTTAGCCTCGCTTTCCGAGCCAAGGTTTTAGACTTGGGGCTGGCCGAAGGCACCCACAGGCAACTCCATACTCCAGTAAAAGTCTCTCCAGCCTTCCAGTGAAATTACAATTACACAAAAGGAGTATTTTAGGGCTCGGAACTTCTATTTCTAATTTCAAATTGTTGTTAGTAGCCATTTTTTTCCATTAAAGTTAACTTTTTTTTTTTTTAACTGGTAGGGAGGAGAATTTTTTAAACTTTTTTTAATGGTTTATTATTTTAAGGGCATTTTATTTTATTTTATTTTAAAAATTGTTTAATGTTTATTTTTTGAGGGGGGCAGAGAGAGACAGTGTGTGAGTCGGGGGCAGGGGGAGAAAGAGAGAGAGGGAGACACAGAATCCGAAGCAGGCTCCAGGCTCCAAGCTGTCAGCACAGAGCCCGATGCGGGGCTCGAACTCACGGACCGTGAGATCATGACCTGAGCCGAAGCCGGACACTCAACTGACTGAGCCGCCCAGGCGCTGCTTAGGGGCTTTTTAAAAGGGGGGTTCCTCCCTGCTTTATGGAGAATTGAGGATGGTCCAGGCTTTTGAGGTCTTGGGTGCTTCTAAGGATTCGATAGAAAACGTAACACTCAGGACCAAAGCAAAGAGCACCAAGTCTCCTGTCTGTGTACCAAGTTGCATTCAGCTCCCTGGAGACGGCGGGATGCTGTGCCTCCCACCCCCTTCCCATCCACCGGGTGGAAGGCAGGGCCACCCCCTTCTCCCTGTCCACTGGCCTCCTTGGTGGGACCGCTTCAGCATTGGCTAGTTTTCCAAACCTAGAACTGATTGAGGGTGTGGGTGGAAGTGGGTCTGCACCCACGTGCACCAGCATGGGCTCCACGTCACCTTGGGGGTGACGGCACCCATCCACACACATGCAGTTGGGGGAACACCATTCCTGAGCTGGGCTGGTCCCCTCACGCACCGGTGGCATGCGTAGGTCTCATGACAAACCGGTAAAGACCTTACCTTCCCATCACGTTCTAAACAGCCACTGGCGCCTATGTGACCCCACAGCCTTCCGCGCTTTGTGTCGAAACTCGATTTTAAAAGTATTTAAGCCACCGATGCCAAATGAGTTTAAGAAATGGATTCTTTTTCTCTCTAGTAGTTTTCTGAAGGTCCACCAGAAAACACCGCCAGGAATAGTAAGTTTATATCTTGGTGCAAACGTGCTCCGTCATGCAAAGTGCCGCCGGGTCCAAGTCAGAGAGGCACTCGGGGAGGGTCCTTACGGGGTCCTGGAGACCAGTCCTTCCCTCGCCTTGAAGAATCTGCCCCCACCCCCCCCACCGTGCCTGTTTTCCTGTTTCTCAACATACTGGATGTGCTTTTCCCCTCCCCTCACGACCCTCCCTTCCCCCCTTCTCTCCCTTTCCTCCTCTTCTCTGATCTTCTCCACAGGTGGGTGCTGGGGAGTGTATTGCTTCCATTCAAGGATATGTGTCCCCAAACCGCTAGGGCACAAGGTAGACAGACACCACACGGGCTCTGCCGCTGGCTTGTTCTGTGTCTGACCTTCAGTAACTTTTCTACTAACGTCGTAACTGGAAAATTGTGATAACGCACTGCGCCTAATTTAAGGGACCTCTTTCTTTGTGCTTCTGACCTTAAAGATGCTGTGTTTTAATGGGCTAACCCCATTAAAGGCAGAAGGTAGTCTGCTTTTAGAAAGTAACTAGTCTGTGAGCATCTGTGTGGATGATCCTTTGTGATGTTTCCAAGGCGATTTTTTTAATGGCCTTCTTTTTACTTCTAAAAGACACTTGTAACGGGCTGTCCGATTTACTCTGTTTTCTCTCTCCTCTCTTTTCAAAAGCCGCATGCTAGGGGTAAGATCTGTGTCCAGAGTCAAGGTAAGAATTTTAAAATGTACGTATTTTTAAAACATGAGTCCATTCAGAGACCTGTCCTGAAGTGTTTGTGGATGAATACAGTGTCTTAGACTTACCTAATAATGATTAGTAGAATGGGTATGCTTGGTATTTCCTTACACGAAGATGAAGGACAGACATGAGAGCATTATAAAAGGGTCATTTTAAATGCAGTTCAGTTAACACTTTCCACCAGCAGAAGCACGGTGCGCGCTCTCGATGGCGTGTTTACAACAGGAGACCCGAGTGTGTCTGTTTTAGTTGAGATGAGGGGAAGTGGACCCCCCGCTTCCTGCCCTCACCCAATCCCAGACTTTCCCGGAAGCTCTCAGCATCTCCTAAACACAGTGAGGAAACCACTGTCTTATTTTTTTCTAATGTTTATTTATTTATTTTGAGAGAGAGAGAGAGAGAGAGAGAGCAGGGGAGGGGCAGAGGGAGAGGATCCCAAGCAGGCTCCGCACTGTCAGCACAGAGCCCTACACGGGGCTCGAACTCATATACCGTGAGATCGTGACGCGAGCCGAAATCAAGAGTCAGACGCTCAACCCACAGAGCCACCCAGGCGCCTGAAAGCGCTGTATTATTGTTTACACAACAGAAATCACAGAAAGAAGTGGTTCCAAAGAACGTGTAGCTGCAAGCTTAGGTCAGCACAGGTGTTGCGGCCAAGGCCATGAGTTCTAGTTTCGTGAGGAGTTTTCCAAGGTGCTGAGCCCCAGAGGGGCCCGGGGCCCCCAGATTCCACCTCAGCCGCACGGTATAAATCCTCTAGGGGGTTCGGTGATATCTGTAGCAGAAGAATCACTTATCAAATAAACCCTTTCTTGGAACTCCCACTTTAAAAAGGATGCCGTGACTCAGTATGTACAGAAGGCGTGTGAGTGTCAGGGCAGGTGCGGGGTTAACACCTCCCTGTTCCTCCGTCGTGGCCTGATTTATAGCCGGGGAGCACATGGGTGCACCACGAAAACACGGCTTTGAAGCACACATGGGTTTGGACACAGCCTCTACCCCCTACGCCCTGAGTCGCTGTGAACACCGTTTGAACCTTAGTTTCCATGAACCTTAGTTTCCAGCCAGATAAACCGGAGGGGTCAGTCTGCCTGGCGAGGCTTTAAGGGTTTCCAGGAGTGCGTGGGCGCATGTGCCCAGGGCAGGCATGTGTGCATGCTCATTAAGTAGGACAAAACTGAGTAAATCTGCATAGCTCAGGGCAGATGACAGTCTCACAGGTACATTGCAGACAGGGTTACATGACTTAACTTACATTTCATAAAATGTCAGATTTTCCCCGTTACCAAGATAAGCTGTTAAGCGTTGCCTCTGAATTTTCTACATCTTAAGATGTGCAACTCAGAGAATGTTAAACTTAAATCCATCCGAGGCGATGATACAGGTAACAGGATGTGTGATTTGGAGAGGGTTGAGATCAGGAATTTTAGATTAAGAGGTAATTGCTACAGGGGGGCTGTGTTTTAGAGGCCCGTAACTTGCATGCATTTTTTAGGGACTCGCGTTTTCCATGACCTGGCGGCTGTCCCGCCCAGTAACAGATGGTGAGGTTGAGGGGGTGCACCTTTTCTAGTTGGGGACCCGTGAGCTCCCATGCTGGAGGGATGAACAGGTGTTCACGAAGCACTCAGAACGTTGAGTTCTTTGTAAGAACCACGCGTGAGACCATTATGTAAACATCAGCACAAAATAGCTGGTTACTTCTCATCATCACGAACTTTCTTTCTCTTTCCCAGGAATCGTGACAGGACCAAACTCTGCCTTTAACTGGAACACCTTTCTTCACCAGTCAGGTGAGAGATGAATCTTCTTACATGAGTTTGACTGGAGTGCATCTTGTCACTGGCGTCGGGTACATGGTATGCTCACGTGGCTTTGGAAACGAGGCCCAAAGAAAGGGGCTTCCTCAGGTCGAAGAAGTCTACGGTTTTAGGTGAACAAGGGAAGGAGGTAGCAGGAATGGGAGCCAGACAGGATTAGGACAAACGTGGCTTCTCTCCGTTTCCAGAGACGTCATTAGTGGTCTCATCCTTGGGAGAGCAGGAGGAAGCACGGGTTTGTAGGAGGATTTTTTAAATCTGTTCTGGGTTCAAATCTTCTATTAGATACATGTATATACGGGGGCACCTGGGTGGCTCAGTGGGTTAAGTGTCCGACTCTTGATTTTGGCTCAGGTCATGATCTCACCGTTCATGAGATCAAGTCCCACATCCAACACTATGCCAACAGCACGAAGCCTGCTTGGGATTCTCTCTCTCTCTCTCTCTCTCTCTCTCTGTCCCTCCTCTGCTCACGTGCTCTCTTTCAAAATAAGTAAACTAAAAAAAAAAAGAAGGTACATGTATATATGTGAATATTTTCTCCTATTTCCTCTGGTTTACCTTTTCATTTTCTCCTAGCTCACCCATTTTTATTTAATGGTTAATTAGCACAGTTTGAGCCCTAAGAAACCTTTGCCTGTTCACAGTTCACAGAGATATTTCCCCTATTTCTTTTCCTCCAGAGGAGGAAGTGTTTTAGTGTTTTGGCTCTTTCATTAGGATCATAATCCATCTGAAATTAATTTTTAATGGACTGAGCCACCCAGGCCCTTCCATCTGAAGTTAATTTTTGTTGTTGTTGTTTTTAAATTTTTTAAATGTTTATTTATTTTTGAGAGAGACAGAGACACATTGTGAGTGGGTTAGGGGTAGAGAGAGAGGGAGACACAGAATCCGAAGCAGGCTCCAGGCTCCGAGCTGTCAGCACAGAGCCCGACGTGGGGCTTGAACTCATGAGCTGTGAGATCATGACCTGAGCCGAAGTCAGACACTCAACCGACGGAGCCACCCAGGTGCCCCTGAAGTTCATTTTCATGTGTGGTGTGAGATAGGGAGGAAATTCATTTCTTTCTGAAAGTGGTTCTAGTCTCATTCGTTGAAAGTGTTTTTCTTTCTCCGTCGAAATGCTTTGCTGAAAATCAGCTTTCCATCTACCAGTGTCCGTTGATCTATGTACGTCTGTCCTTATGCTGATATCACGTTGTCTCCTGCTGTTGGTTTATATAGCATGTCGAGAAATCAGGTAGTGTGAGTCGACAGCTCTGTGTCGGCTAACCTAGGTTTTTTGCATTTCCATACACACTTAATACACCTTGTCAGTCTCTATAAAATCTATAGATCAAGTTAGGGAGAATTGACATCTTAAAAATAATTTGTCTCAAAATCTATGAACATGATGTATCTGTCCTCTTATCTAAGTCTCATTTATCTTCATAATGATTTGTACAGGTCTTTATGCCTTTTTAAAAAAAAATTATTCTTAGGGATTTTATTATCTTTGTTGCTATTATAAAGGCTTTTTAAGTTTTACTTTTGAATTGTTTGTTGCTAATATGTAAAAACACAATTGAGTTTCGACGTTATATTCTGAAATCTTATGCACTGACTTATTAATTCTAATTACATCATGAGTTTCAATTCCTTTATAGTGTTATTTTGAATTCTGTAAACTTATTTGATCCGTCCCTTCTTAAACTTTTGGATATGTAGTGGCGGAGATGCTAGGATTTCAGTCTTCGTATATTTGCCAAGTTGTTGTCTTTGGAACACCTAAAAACAGAAGCTCTGGGTTAGGTTATGCCCTTAATCAGAGCATTCGTACGTTGTGCGCAACGTCTCCTGGAAAGGTAGCATCAATGTGCATGTCTGTCAGCCATGCTGCGAGGGCGCCATTTTCCCTACACGCGGTGGAAGTAACAGTCTAGCCTTTGTATCTTCCGTATATGGTGGATCCAAGTGCAGTCACAATGTTGAAACAAAACTTTGTCGCACAACATCTTTAAATGTAGAGAGTTTGCTGTCCACAGATGAGGCCCCTAAGTGTATACTATTGGGGACTATCACTCCCCTATAGTCTGACCAACCCGGTAGCTCTGCTCAAGATGTGGGAACAGCTGAATGGACTCACCAAATGCAGTGTCAAGTTTCGGAATACTTCTGTTTTAACCTGAACTGCTTCTCCCGAGAGTCAACGGTGCAAGGGGACTGTAGGTGGGGAGCTGACGTTGCAAGCCCACTGGTACCTTCGGAGAAGAGGCTGAAAAGACAAGACTCCAGGCGCCGTCCACAGCCAGCATCTGCATAGCTGGTTTTCGCTCCAAGCACAGCAGACAAAAGCCCACACCCCCCCACACACCGAACGTCAGAGTCAGGTTCCCTTGGAAGAAGAACATTTCCAAGCATTTTATTAGAAACGGTTTTTGAAGTGCATCCATCAACCTCAGGGCCAGCAGCAGGGCCGTCCTCTGCCTCGCGAGTGAACCCTCGCTGTCCCGCTGCTCTGTCACGCCAGCAGGTGTGGGCCATTATTCAGAACCGGTGCGCCCATTTGAAATCGCCTCTTGTGCAGTGACTTCATCGTCCATATCTCACGGGACGCCCGTTGTGGTGTGCCTAAGAGTCATAATTCCCAATGGGGGAGAGATTTCTCATCAAGCCCAGAGCCTCATGGCTCATCGTTTCACCGGTCTTCCTACCGAGTGATTAACGGAACAGCCGGGAGACATTCAAGACGCCTCAAGACGGCCCTTCCCGCAGAGACCCGCTTGGCGGCTCCGTCTCGACGTGGACAACTACACGCTGTAACTGTGTCCAGGATACACAGCAGAGGCGAGCTCGCTGGGGTCGTGGTAGCCGGCTCTGTCGGATCTTGGCGCAAGGGTGGATGCGGAATTCATCGGTGTCTCCGGGTTTGGTGACCAGGCGTCCAATCTCATTTGTGGAGCCGTTTATCTTTGTCGCAGGTGACTCTGGAGAGAGACTGCCTTCCCCACCCACCCTCGATCGTACCCTGGCCTCCACAGCCCGTGATGGTGATTTGTCACTTCTGCTTTGAGCTTCAGACAGCAAAGACAGAAGAGACGGTGAATTGGACACAGGCTGTTAGTGATCAAATACTCACCCTCAGAATCCTTGTGAACTGTGTAACCTTGCGATCAAGGGGAGGGGGTGGGGAAGGGCCTTGGTTAGCAGCCCAGACCCACAGGGGGGTACTCGATTAGTCACCAAAGTGTAGGGTCTGTTTCCTCAGTATCTGATGTCGATTTGATGACGCATCCTTCCTCACGGTATGACACAGGTTTTGCCAAAAATGCTCAGTTCTCTCTCCAAGTCCTAAGTTTCAAATTACTGAAACTTTTGAGTCCAAAACATTGCTTTTATGCTAACCAGATTCCATTTTCCAACAGATCAACTAGGAAAAAATAAAGACTAAAGTAGAAGGGCACCTGGGTGGCTCAATCGGTTAAGCGTCCGACTTCGGCTCAGGTCATGATCTCCTAGTTTGTGAGTTTGAGCCCCGCGTCGGGCTCTGTGCTGACAGCTCAGAGCCTGGAGCCTGCTTCGGATTCTGTGTCTCCTTCTCTCTCTGCCCCTCCCCCACTTGTGCTCTGTCTCTCTCTATTAAAAATAAATAAATGTAAAAAAAAAAAAAAAAGACTAAAGTAGAATTTTTTCACATGATATTTACAGAAGTTATCCTGACCAGGAAATAAAAGCACAGACCTCAGGTTGGTTACCTTGGAGTTTGTGCATTTGCAGGTACAACTTAAACATTGTTATGGTTCAGTGATGGATGATTCTTGCTTCTCGATGGCAATGACCGACACATCGAAAGTTAGTGATTCTTTGTTGGTCATCAAACCCCAAAACTATGAAACCTTAAATTTGACCGTACCTTCCCAGTGTTCTGTTTCCCGTTTTACTCAATTTCTATTGTTAATTTGTTTATTTCATTTTCTGCCTCTCTCCTTTTGTAAACTATACTTCTATTTTCCTGTGTTTCATATGGAGAATTCACGTTACCAGATCCCGCGATATATCCACAGCCTCCAAATCAGATTTTTCAGCTAACATTCACCATGTCTAATGCACTCAACTGAAGTTCTTGGATTCTTTTCTCCTTATAATAACCCATGAGAAAAATACACAGAAGACAGCAGAGAACATGGCTCACTGCGGACTGGGTTTGTGTCGTGGAGTCATCTGACGAATCACTGGGGGGCTGGGCAGTGGGACTGGCACCTAGCCTGCCGGGGCCCATTCGGTGCCAGACCGCGAGAGCGACTCACTCTGTTTTGGAGACAAAAATACCACTCTCCAGGAAATGGTAACATCGGAAGGACGGACGTGTAAATCGTGCATTTGTGAGGGATGAGTTCAGACCTTGAGTCACGGTAAACGTGATTGCTCATAGAAAAACAAAGGGAAGAAAACTAAGTGTGGAGTTAAAAGGAAGAAATGAAATCCACTAAAACGTTGCCGAGGCGTCTGCATCACCTCCAGATGTCCACGGGCCAATTTCTTTTCATTCTGTTTTGAAATCTAAGAATGGCCACCGTACGTGCCCGTAACCCCGGCCAGGGACACAAGGGGAGGCTGTGCTTCTGTGTGCTGCTTTGGCACATGCTTGTTTGATCATGATTTTCCAGCTGTTATCTTTATGTCTTTGACAATGCTACCGTTGTGTGTGAGAAGAGCACAGAAGCTGTTCAAACCCAAAAGCTGCGTCTGCATTTTATTTTTAAAAATCTTGGAAGTCCTAGAATAAAGCAGAGCATTTAGTCCTTTGTCCTGCCGTTGGCTAACTTCGTTTCCTAAAGTCTCATGACATTTAATCTCAACCCGGGAAGGAGATGAGGAGAGAGGCGAGAGAATATTAGGTTAGCACTGTGTCCCTCCAGGGTCTGGTGGGTTGGGGCCCTCAAAATCAGTGAGCGAGTTGGGGGCCAGCACATTTAAAACTTGAAATGAGATGAAAGGAATACTTCCATCAGAGTTCCTTGTATGTAATAAGGCTAATATTGTTTGGAACTGTGTGCGTATACAAGCTGTATCAAGTGTATGAGGTCTCAGTACGGTATGTATATCTTACCATAAGTCGTGGAACATTTTGAAGATCAATGTTGTAAACCGTGCGTTGCTCTCCCTCAAGGTCGGCTTCCCAGGCATCTGGGGTTGGGGGCAGGTGGGACCTCTGAGCAGAAGGCCAGCACATCTCCCGAGCCTGCTGTTCCGGGTAGCTAACGTGTGTCACATCCAAACAGAGGAACACAGCAGGTTTTCACATCTGTGCTTGCCGCACCGCAAAAATACAGAAGAGAGTGGAGTCTTTTTACCAAGACGTCACATAAGTCCTTAGAATACTGTCGCTTTGGCTGCCGTCTCTGGACGCCATCTTGCCGTGTTTGCTTCGGCCATTGTTCCTTTCCTCGGTTCAGTAACACAGGTTCTCTGATTTCCCCCATGTGGGCACTCCATGCTCCTTCTGTCTTCTCTCCTCCTCCTCCTCCTCTTCCTCCTCCTCTTCCTCCTCTTCCTCCTCTTCCTCCCCCTCCTCCCA